TCAGGTCATAAGGATGATAATATGGGCACTATTCATGGCTTGTCTTACATCTTACATCAGGTCATAAGGATGATAATATAGGCATTATTCATGGCTTGTCTTACATCTTGCATCAGGTCATAAGGATGATAATATGGGCACTATTCATGGCTTGTCTTACATCTTGCATCCAATCATAAGGATGATAATATAGGCACTATTCATGGCATGTCTCACATCTTGAATCAGGTCATAAGGATGATAATATGGGCACTATTCATGGCATGTCTTACATCTTGCATCAGGTCATAAGGATGATAATATGGGCACTATTCATGGCATGTCTTACATCTTGCATCAGGTTATAAGGATGAAAATATGGCACTATTCATGGCTTGTCTTACATCTTGCATCAGGTCATAAGGATGATAATATGGGAACTATTCATGGCTTGTCTTACATCTTGCATCAGGTCATAAGGATGAAAATATGGCACTATTCATGGCTTGTCTTACATCTTGCATCAGGTTATAAGGATGATAATATGGGCATTATTCATGGCTTGTCTTACATCTTGCATCAGGTCATATTGATGACACAGTAATATGGGAACTATTCATGGCTTGTCTTACATCTTGCATCAGGTCGTAAGGATGATAATATGGGAACTATTTATGGCATGTCTTACATCTTGCATTAGGTCATAAGGATGATAATATGGGCATTATTCATGACATGTCTTACATCTTGCATCAGGTCATAAGGATGATAATATGGGCATTATTCATGGTTTGTCTTACATCTTGCATCAGGTCATAAGGATGAAAATATGGCACTATTCATGACTTGTCTTACATCTTGCATCAGGTCATAAGGATGATAATATGGGCATTATTCATGGTTTGTCATACATCTTACATCAGGTCATATGGATGATACAGTAATATGGGAACTATTCATGGCTTGTCTTACATCTTGCATCAGGTCGTAAGGATGATAATATGGGAACTATTTATGGCATGTCTTACATCTTGCATCAGGTCATATGGATGATAATATGGGCATTATTCATGGCATGTCTTACATCTTGCATCAGGTCATAAGGATGATAATATGGGCATTATTCATGGTTTGTCTTACATCTTGCATCAGGTCATATGGATGATAATATGGGCACTATTCATGGCTTGTCTTACATCTTGCATCAGGTTATAAGGATGATAATATGGGCATTATTCATGGCTTGTCATAATCTTACATCAGGTCATATGGATGATACAGTAATATGGGAACTATTCATGGCTTGTCTTACATCTTGCATCAGGTCGTAAGGATGATAATATGGGAACTATTCATGGCATGTCTTAAACCTTGTATCAGGTCATAAGGATGAAAATATGGCACTATTCATGGTAATGTCTTACATCTTGCATCAGGTCATAAGGATGAAAATATGGCACTATTCATGGTAATGTCTTACATCTTGCATTAGGTCATAAAGATGATAATATGGGAACTATTCATGGCATGTCTTACATCTTGTGTCAGGTCATATGGATGATAATATGGGCAGCCTCCATAGCTTGTCTTACACCTTGCACCTGATCATAATTCATATTTTCAGCTTTTTGAAAACCAATAAAAGCCAGTCATTATGGCTCCTTGTTTATAGTGCATGGTGCATACATGAACATAAGCAATTTTCAACTTTGCAGAAAATGATTGAAACCATTGATTTGGTCATGTGTCTATATTTTTTGTGTTTTGTTCATTGATCAAACATTGCTTTTCTCAAACACCACTTTGCCCCTTAGCCACATGTGACAGAGAGCTTCCAATCATTACAACCTTTCAAGTTAATATAAATGTAATATAACACAATATAATATAAATGTTAATATAACACAAATGCCAATATGCCACCAAATAAACTACAAATCAAGAGACTTTAAACAAATCAAAAACTACTAGGCATAATTTCATTTATAAAAAAACTCCTGGCATTGAGGCCTTTTAAGTATTATGAACTGCATTCAGATATGGCCATTGTTCAGTAAAATTGGAAAAACCTTTAAATGTCTTATGAAAACTATTGAACTGACTTTAGCCAAATTAACAAAAGTAACAGACTTTAGCCAAATTAACACAAATAATCCTGGCATGATGATACAGAAAATGGAAAACCATTGAAACAACTGTTTTCATAACATCTGCAGTGAACAGCATCAGAAGACAGTTCTACAGAAAGCATGCTACTGATCCATAGTATGTTGCCAACTGCTTGGCATTGATGCCACTGAACCAGATTAGTGTTGCCAACTGCTTGGCATTGATGCCACTGAGCCTGATTAGTGTTGCCAACTGCTTAGCATTGATGCCACTAAGCCAGATTAGTGTTGCCAACTGCTTGGCATTGATGCCACTGAGCCTGATTAGTGTTGCCAACTGCTTAGCATTGATGCCACTAAGCCAGATTATATTGCCAACTGCTTGGCATTGATGCCACTGAACCAGATTATGTTGCCAACTGCTTGGCATTGATGCCACTGAGCCAGATTAGTGTTGCCAACTGCTTGGCATTGATGCCACTGAGCCATATTATGTTGCCAACTGCTTGGCATTGATGCCACTGAGCCTGATTAGTGTTGCCAACTGCTTAGCATTGATGCCACTAAGCCAGATTAGTGTTGCCAACTGCTTGGCATTGATGTCACTGAGCCTGATTAGTGTTGCCAACTGCTTAGCATTGATGCCACTAAGCCAGATTAGTGTTGCCAACTGCTTGGCATTGATGCCACTGAGCCTGATTAGTGTTGCCAACTGCTTGGCATTGATGCCACTGAGCCATATTATGTTGCCAACTGCTTGGCATTGATGCCACTGAGCCTGATTAATGTTGCCAACTGCTTAGCATTGATGCCACTAAGCCAGATTATGTTGCTAACTACTTGGCATTGATGCCACTGAGCCAGATTAGTGTTGCCAACTGCTTGGCATTGATGCCACTGAGGCTGATTAGTGTTGCCAACTGCTTAGCATTGATGCCACTAAGCCAGATTATATTGCCAACTGCTTGGCATTGATGCCACTGAAACAGATTATGTTGCCAACTGCTTGGCATTGATGCCACTGAGCCAGATTAGTGTTGCCAACTGCTTGGCATTGATGCCACTGAGCCAGATTATGTTGCCAACTGCTTGGCATTGATGCCACTGAGCCTGATTAGTGTTGCCAACTGCTTAGCATTGATGCCACTAAGCCAGATTATGTTGCCAACTGCTTGGCATTGATGCCACTGAGCCAGATTAGTGTTGCCAACTGCTTGGCATTGATGCCACTGAGCCAGATTAGTGTTGCCAACTGCTTGGCATTGATGCCACTGAGCCAGATTATGTTGCCAACTGCTTGGCATTGATGCCACTGAGCCTGATTAGTGTTGCCAACTGCTTAGCATTGATGCCACTTTGCCAGATTATGTTGCTAACTACTTGGCATTGATGCCACTGAGCCAGATTAGTGTTGCCAACTGCTTGGCATTGATGCCACTGAGCCTGATTAGTGTTGCCAACTGCTTAGCATTGATGCCACTAAGCCAGATTATGTTGCTAACTACTTGGCATTGATGCCACTAAGCCAGATTATGTTGCTAACTGCTTGGCATTGATGCCATTGAGCCAGATTATGTTGCCAACTGCTTGGCATTGATGCCACTGAGCCTGATTAGTATTGTCAAATGCTTAGCATTGATGCCACTAAGCCAGATTAGTGTTGCCAACTGCTTGGCATTGATGCCACTGAGCCTGATTAGTGTTGCATTGATGTCACTAAGCCAGATTATGTTGCCAACTGCTTGGCATTGATGCCACTGAGCCAGATTAGTGTAGCCAACTGCTTAGCATTGATGCCACTAAGCCAGGTTATGTTGCCAACTGCTTGGCATTGATGCCACTGAGCCAGGTTAGTGTTGCCAACTGCTTGGCATTGATGCCACTAAGCCAGATTATGTTGCCAACTGCTTGGCATTGATGCCACTGAGCCAGATTATGTTGCCAACTACTTGGCATTGATGCCAATGAACCTGATTAGTGTTGCCAACTGCTTAGCATTGATGCCACTAAGCCAGATTATGTTGCCAACTTCTTGGCATTGGGATCTTAGGCAGCTTTCAGATGAGTGAAACTGTCATACATGGCCATAAATGATAGTGATTTCTTGTTCAGTACAAACATTCACATATCTGATAGCCTACTTAATCTGACTTATTCTAGATATTGTCTGAAGCAAATGAATAAGACTAGGTTGTCAATTGGCATTGTTATAGTCATCGTTATCATGTGAGGCCATCAATACAATATTACCTTGACCCATTTCAGATTTTTATTGTATTTCCCCCAGAATTGATATTTGCATCCACATAAAACCATATACATATACTGAGTCTACCTGCATCTAGCCATTATTTCTTCCCAGGTCCAAGGAAACTGTTTGGGATGGTTTTCCTAGTACATACCTACTGAGAGGTTAACTTTGTGCAGATATCTACATTCTACATTAAGTTAATCCAGTTATTGCAGCCTTATTGTATCCAGGATATATAACTGTTATACTTGGAATGATGAAACTTGTTGAGTAAATACATCTTGATAAGTACAAAACTCTGATCTCAAAATTAGGTTACTATGATGCATATTCCATATATTACTGTGTTCAGCAAATTTTGTGTTTTAAGTTTATTTCTGAAGCTCTTTTCAAGTTGTAATTATAAAACATGTGATGTGAAGTGTTGCGATTATGATTTTTAACATAGCTTTAACAATTTTTCAGTTATATCACTACAATGTCTGCAGTGTGGCAGTTTATAGTGATGTCTAGCACTGGGGCATCATGCTGCAAACATGTAGCAAGATGTCCCACCCATTCACATTATCCTGACACCAGGCCAACCCGTCCTAACACTAACCTCTTATTGCTGAGCGCCAAGCAAGGAAGCTGTTAGTACCATTTTTGTAAGTCTTTCGATATGACTCGACCTGGGATCGAACCTATGACCTTCCACATCTGAGGCAGATGCTCTAACCACTAGGTCATGGAAGCGGTTAAACAATTATAATTATAAAACAATATGTTTGCATGCATCTTTAGTTCCACACCCTTACAGCAAAAGAAAAATTGACCTACACTGTACATTTTATTAAGTTAACTTCTTGCATTAAGCTTATGACTACATTTCTTTTTGCAACCCTGTACACATACTGTTTTGCAACCCTGTACACATAATGTTTTGCAACAGTGTACACATACTATTTTGCAACACTGTACACAAACTGTTTTGCAACCCTGTACACATACTGTTTTGCAACACTGTACACATGCTGTTTTGCAACACTGTACACATACTGTTTTGCAACACTATACACATGCTGTTTTGCAACACTGTACACATACTGTTTTGCAACACTGGACACAAACTGTTTTGCAACCCTGTACACATACTGTTTTGCAACACTGTACACATGCTGTTTTGCAACACTGTACACAAACTGTTTTGCAACACTGTACACATACTGTTTTGCAACACTGTACACATGCTGTTTTGCAACACTGCACATGCTGTTTTGCAACCCTGTATACATACTGTTTTGCAACACTGTACACATACTGTTTTGCAACACTGTACACACAATGCTTTGCAGCCCTGTACACATACTGTTTTGAAACACTGTAAACATACTGTTTTGCAACACTGTACAAATAATGTTTTGCTACCCTGTATACATACTGTTTTGCAACACTGTACACATACTGTTTTGAAACACTGTACACATATTGTTTTGAAACACTGTACACACACTGTTATACCATGAATGCTAGTGAGGAGATGCATCTTGATGAGTAATACATCATGATCACAAAAGTAACTACATTCATACTTCATTGACTTGGGATACATGTTGTTTGTAACATTTGTTTCAAACTATGTTTCCTGCTTGAATGATCAAACTGGACTATTATATTATGTACCTCTATTAGTATCAAACCCTTGCAACAATAAAAAGTCACTGACTGACATTTCACATTTTGCTAGATTTGCTTGAAAATTCATGTTTAAGTCATGATTTGATCTAACAGGTTTTTGCAGTCTATGCTGTTATACCTGGAATCATGAAACATGATTAGAGGAAGGATCTTAATGACTGCTGTATCCTCACCACAAAAGTAGGTTACTTTGACCCATATTTTATGCATCACTGGTACTGTAATGTGTTGTCTTCTAGAGTAGGTGTTGTTGGGAAACAATGTCATAGAGGACAATAGAGGTATTGAGCAAAAGACTGATAGAATGGCTGTCATATTGTTGAATAGTATTAACAGTTCTAGCTTATACAATGTTAATGTTGGCTTTCCTAGTCATTCTTTCAAACTGCTGCACTTAACATAACAAAATGTTAATTTTTATCCACACCACAACACTGGTAGTAGTAATAATAGTTTTGTTCATCCATGGGTCCATCTGTCACACCATGGTTATGTCGTTTCCTTGGTGAGCCAATCAATAAAGTTGTCTATTATTAAGGGACTTTAACAGATGTGGATAATAGGAAAGTATGTGAACTTCATTACACATTAGGCCCTATTTAGCTGTATTAACACGGCGAATCAATATGGTAATATTTTAAACATTTATTCCCCACCCCCATATGATTCTAAATTGATTTACCAAAGTATAAATACACAATATAGGTGGCATAGACATATATGCTGTGACATGTAACCCATCAGTTTTTATGGATTTATTTTCTATAATGCAGTTAATAATTTGTCAGTATATGATTTGAAAAGCAAACAAATATTATTTATTTAACCCCATTTAAAGGCATGAAGGATTTTATGTCTGCACATTTCACATATAATTGAGCGTGCCATTTGAGTGCAGCAAGTCACAAATAATTTCCCTCTTATTTTGCAATACATATACATGCATTTACAATCAAATAACATAAAGGCTGCATTTGCTTTTCAGATATAATCTACTATTTGTACAAATTTGCATAGTAGTCAGCCAATACAGCATTCTCTCACTTCCATGGTTCCACCAGCACCTTTTTCAGCCTGATTATGCACCTTTTTCAGCCTGATTATATAAATAACTGACATTACCAATATGTATTCTTTGTTTTATCACACAATGCAATTCATCCATCACATCAAATTACTCATTTTTTTACAATGATACATCGGACCAATTTCAGTTCTTTTGGATGGATGGTCATCATTATGGGGTTAGCTTGAGATGGCTTCCTAAAATGTCTGGGTTGTTCACAATGAAAATGGTGCCATTTGATATCCAGTTTTGGCTACAACAGCAGCCATCTTGAAATGCTTGCAGTCACTAATTCCTCTGGCATGGTATGTCAGAATGACAAAAATGATTCATATAGTCCTAAATGAAACTGGTGCATATCTGATGTTCAATATGGCTGACACAGTGGCCATCTTGAAAATCTAACCACTACTGTACCTGAAAGAAGTTCTTGAATGGATTGATATATAAAAAAGAAGTATGATAACATTTGTGTCAAAGTCAAAAGACTTGTTCCATTTAGTTGTTTCCAAATCACAGTGGCCATCTTGAAAATCATGTCACTACTTATCTTGGAAGAGTGAAGATATAAGCAAAGGAGTTTCACTAAAAACTTGTGATCTTGAAAACTTTGTTAACTGGTTTATACTGGTACAGTGATTTCACCAATAGATTTCAAGTTGGTCCTAATGGAAATGGTGCCCATTGTGATTTCACCAAAAGACATAGGATTTCTAGTTAAAATGAAAATAATGTGTGAATTTACATAAAATATCAGTCTTCCACAAAACCAGTCTAAGTCTAGTTGAGATTACTAAACATGATCCAAACTTTTGGACTTAGAACTGATGTAAATCTATCCTTGTGGCAGTTTAAATCACAGCAGTTAAAAAGCAAAGAGGTCAGGCATCAATAACCACCATTTCATATAATGCTTATTTGACTGACAATATGTAGTGTAAGGAGTTAAGTACTTTGATAAATGTTGTTGGTGAGCCCATTGTGCTCATTTGCATAGGTAGAGTTCACAAAAGGAACAACTCAATTGATCTCAAAGTGTAAGGAGTTAAGTACTTTGATAAATGTTGTGGGTGAGCCCATTATGCTCATTTGCATAGGTAGAGTTCACAAAAGGAACAACTCAAAGTGTACTTTGATAAATGTGGGTGAGCCCATTATGCTCATTTGCATTGGTAAAGTTTACAAAAGGAACAACCCAATTGATCTCAAGTTAAATCAAAGAGATGCTGAATATGTGTTCAAGAACAAAAGTTATTACATATCACTGCCTTGAATGTATAAATCACCCATATTAAAGAATATTGGCAAGTTTATGAAATGCAGCATTTCTTTCAAGTCCAGTTTTACTGCTTATATAAAACACAAAGCATGATTATTTCAGTTGTCAGAATATTGCTCAAGTGTGATTCATTTTTTTTATGCAAATAAAGAAGCAATAAACTATCAGCAGAGCCCAGCAATGACATACATGTCAAGTCTCCCTATTTGCCCAGGAGTCTTTTGATTTTTGACCCCATCTTTTGACAAGATCTCCCGGAAATAAAACAAACCTGCCAAGCACAGGTATTTCCAGCTAAAACAATGATTCAAAAAATAAACCTCGGATGTAATTTGTCCCCATTGAGAATTATATTCTGAGTTACCATTGTTGATATGGAGCAATAGTAGCAATGGAAGCAGGCACAATCACAATCAGAATACCATTGGCCTTTGCTGTTGTACAGTATGTAGGAGGAAAATCACCAAAGATATAAAAATTGATGCGTATTCTTGCAACTACTTCCAGGGTTATTTCAAAAACTCTGGTGCCATGTCAAAACATCTGCTAACAGATAATAGAAGTTATGCCTTAATAAAAAATGAAGTATGTTTGTAACTTTATCAGTGCTTGGATAGGTGAATTTAATTGTTTGAAGCCTAGTATAAAGGGAGAGCTTTGCATACTGCACAACTTGCAACACATATTTGAACATTTCTAGTGGGGGAAGAAAATTATCTCACAAGGAATTGAAAAATATGCAGCACATTGCAAATGACAAATTGTCACATAATGTGCCCAAAGTAATGCAAATGTTTGCACCAACATCGGTAGACAGTGTCACCAAAGCAGAGGTTCTTTTTGCTATCTTTATGGCAGAGCATAATTTACCATTCTTGGTTGCTGATCATTTTAATGAGCTGTGTAAAATTATGTTTCCTGACTCGTAATTTTGCTCAGAAATTTCACTGCAAAAAAAACTAAGTTAACAAACATTTTTAACAATGCACTGGGTCCAATGAAAGACATTCAAGTAACTTTACTATGCAAAGAAAACCCTTTCTCAGTGATGACGGATGAATCTAATGACTGGTGATGAAAAGTGTGTAGCAATTCTTGTAAGGGTGTTTGACAGTGACATTCACAGAGTGATAACCAAATTCCTGGCTATGCCCATTTTCAATATTGGAACTGGTGATAACCTTTTCAATTGTCTTCAAGAAGTCTGAACAAACAGACAGAACCTGATAATGCAAATGTAATGGTTGGAAATAAAATTTTCGTCCTCTCCAGAGTTTGTGAACAGCAGCCATATAACAAAATTATTAAAGTTAAGTAACTATTATTCATTATACTAACTATTATTCATTATACTATTATTCATTATACTAACTATTATTCATTATACTATTATTCATTATACTAACTATTATTCATTATACTAACTATTATTCATTATACTAACTATTATTCATTATACTAACTATTATTCATTATACTAACTATTATTCATTATACTATTATTCATTATACTAACTATTATTCATTATACTAACTATTATTCATTATACTAACTATTATTCATTATACTAACTATTATTCATTATACTAACTATTATTCATTATACTAACTATTATTCATTATACTAACTATTATTCATTATACTAACTATTATTCATTATACTAACTATTATTCATTTTACTAACTATTATTCATTATACTAACTATTATT